AGTATATATATATATATATATATATATATATATAGAGAGAGAGAGAGAGAGAGAGGACTGTTTAATGTTTATTACATCGAAGAAGAATACTCCTGAATTCTTGTGATTACTCTTCTAAATGGTCAGCTACAGAGAGAAGGCAATTTGTGCCAGTCTCGGACAGATTATGTTTGTTCTTTGAGGAAAGTAGATTTGTGTCTAGTGATGTTCTGTATTTGGCTTTGTTTTTATACTACCCTTGCTGCTGACCATTTGTGTATTTATCCAATTCAACAAAATTATTCATCAGTGGAAGTTTCTTTGCTGCTGCTGACCACTTGTGTATTTATCCAGGTCAACAAAGTTTCTGTTATTTTATTTATTTAAATGTCTCTTATTCTCCCAACTTTTAAAATCTCTAGTTGTTGCAGATATCATGTAACTGTATGCTTGGCTTATACTTGAATTATTGTATGTGTTACAGAAAGTAAAACTGGTATTTTAACATGAGTCTCAGGATGAGACTTTTTAAAATATGTTGGATATACTTGTGTATTTTAATACAAGGAAAGAAGGAAGTACACAGTCATATTTTAGTAATGGAGTATTTGTTCATGATTATAAAGTTATGAAAAAACTATTTCCTGCTAACCATGTCATTTAAACATCACATGAACATGTAACTATCTGTACTGATTAATGTCTGTTATTCTGTTTTTTTTACTCTTCAGTGATGTTTTATATACAGTTTTGATAATTCACATTCCTCATATTTTGAGTTATTGTTTTTAAAAGGGTTATTTGTATGACTGTGGTTTTACATATATTTTTAGGCCATCCAACAAGTGCGACCACATTTCCAGCCCACTCCACCTTCTTATCCAGAAGGCTATGATTGTAAGCTTTTGGAAACATTAAACGACAAGTCCGGGAATGTAAGTAAACAAAGCAGTATCAAAAGAAATAGAATTGTTTAAAATGAATATGGTTATAAAGTATATAGAATGTATTTTTACAAATCTATAATTAGAATATATTTGAGTTTTGCCAAGAACAGAACATATTTAATAACACTGAAAATTTCTTATTGATCCTTTTTAGTCTTCATGATCAAACTTATGGACTGTAAAAGTATTAGTCATATCTTGGGACAGTAGTAATAACTCTAAGGATATATCATATATGACCCTTTCATATGTAGTGAAAAATATATATTTCAACAGGTATATTTGAGTAACTTTTTCCATCATTTCATTTCATGCAGACGTTCTGTTTGTAGTTAGTCAGATATGGAAAGGTTGTTATTTGCACTAATCTTTTACCTTAGACAAAGATTATTTGGCACTTAATACCTGTTTGATCCGTCCCTCTTCTTCACGATTACAACTAGTGAACGGTAGGCTGAATTTGAAAGCTCAATGATTCAAGCTTCCAACATTGCCTCAACTTCCTGCTTAATCAGATCTCTCATTGCTTAAGGCATCTGATAGGGCTTCACTTTGACTGGATCCCTGGTTGTGATCTTGTGTTGCACGATGTCTGTCTTTCCTGGTTTATCCGTGAAGATATCTGCATACTGGTACAGTAGGCCTTGAAACTCTCTGTTTTTCTTGCCAGTCAGTTCTTTGCTGATGTTGACATCTTTGTGTGTTTCATCTCCACCTAGTGGTCTTAAGTCTAGTAGGTCCTCATCTTCTAAGACAAAGTCACTGTCTTCTGGTTCTGCATCTATGATGGCCACACCTGCAACATCCATCTCTGTTTCAATAGCTGCATCTGTCAGGTCTTTTTCTCTCCCAAAATACTTCTTCAACAGATTGGCACGGTAGATCTTGGTCTTCACATTCACTTTGTAGTCCATTCTGTTGAGTACTTTTTCTGAGGTCTAACACATACTGGTATGTGTTCCTTACTTCTGACTTTTCTTCTCCTGTCCATAGCTCTTTAAATATTTGCATCGGACCTCATACTGTTCTTCCATACAGTAACTCAAAGGGTGAAAATTTTGTACTTACTTGTGGGACTTCTAGCTAAGTGAATAATACTGCCTGTAAGTACCTGTCCCAGTCATGTGGCACATTTTCTTTAGCATACTCTTTAAAACTCCATTGACTCTCTTGCAAAATGTATCATATTTAGGATTGTACGGGGTGGTAAAGAGTTGCCGAGTACTGATGAGTCTGCACTCTTTCTGCATCAGTTCTGAAGTAAACTGGGTCCCTCTATCATTCACGATTTCTCTCGGAAAGCTTACTCTGCAAAATATCTCCAGGAGGGCTTCTGCTACTCTCTGACTCTATCTTTAGCAATGCCATTAATTCTGGATAACATTTCGCATAGTCGACTACTGTTACAACATACTGGTTGCCCTTGTCAGACACAGGCGCTAGTGGCCCGATCAAGTCCACAGCTACTCTGCTGAATGGCTCTTCAATGAGAGGCATCTTCCCCAATGACATTTTGGCACAGAATCTACTCACATCTCCAATCACTCCCGGCCAATGGAAATTACTGGTGATTCTGTCTGCCATTTTCTTTGTTCCTAGGTGTCCTCCCACAATTGATTCATGAGCCAACTTCATCACTTGAGTTCGATATTCTTTTGGTTCTATGATCTATTTAACTTCCCCAGTATAAGTGCCTTGATAGATTTGGTATAGAACTCCCTTCTGGTTCTCTATTCTATAAGTATATTTTCCCTTTGTTTTGTGCTTGACTTTCTTCTGGGCATTGTCCCAAAGTTTCTGCAGTGAAGGGTCTTTCTTCTGTGCTTCTTTCAGTTCCTGCAAACCTAAATTCAGGATATTGCCTTTTGACCCTTGCAGGGGCTCTTCTTTTCTTAAGCTCTGGTGGTGACAGCAGATACTTCATAAATCTTTTTTCTGTCTAGTTCCTCCTACTACCTGGTATGTTTCCTGTCACCAAGTCATGTATTGGTTCCTTGATACACATGGCCTCAAGGTCTCCTACATAACATAGAGTATCCACTTTTATTTTTGCTATGGGATATTTTCTCACTGTCTCATTGATTAGCACACACACAAGCGTACCTTGCCTGTCATCTGATCATTGGATATTAAACTGGTTCTTACTGCTTCACTACTGCACCCAGTGTCTCGTAGAACCTTCACTTTCTTGTCCCCAACATAGCCTTCACAGTTTGGCATACTATGATTTGTTGGTATCTCTTGATATTTGTCACAAGCTCCCTTCACTATTGGCACTGTTGATCCATTTGCAAATTTGAGCCACCCATTATTCGTGCACTGATCAATCACGTTTTCTTGTATTGAATTTGACAAGTAGTTTTAATTCTCTTTCTTCTGACAGCAGCATCCACAATGCCAGTCACTCTTTTCTTGTTTCTTACCAGCACTGTCTTTGTAGACAGCTCCAGCTGCTTTATGTTGAGGTTTCTGCTGTTGTTTGCTGGTAATGGACTTGCACTCTTTTGCGATGTGCCCCATTTTATAACAAACATACCATCTCTTTTTCCCTTCTGTCTATTAGCCTCCTGTCACCTTTGGTAAACTCCTGCTTCTGGTCAGCCATTACTGGTTTCAAAAATAACTGGACAGTTGTAGTAAATTGTTTCCTATGTCTTTAGTGTAGAAAAACTATAGTGTACATTAAATTTTTTTTTTTCTTAGCACATTTTGAAAAGTTCAGTATGACTACTGTTGTGAATCATGAGTTAAAAGGGGGTGGGGTGGAGTCAACAATAAGAAAGAACTGCTTTCATTATCTTAGGCTGAGATAAGTGTACATTGCACTATTTATACACTGAAAAGTAGCACATTTTATGCACATGATACACATCTATACACTTTTTAAAACTATTTATTTTCTCTTCTTCATTTACACACTTTTTTTTATCTGTGAGCTTTCAGCCACAGGTTTACTTCATCTGAAGATGCCACATAGGATATGAAGATGAGCACACTTTCAAAGAAGTAAAAGTATTTTTCAGAAGAGAATCAAATAATAGTATTTTGTGTGAAAGTAGATGTTTGAACACTACATCATTTTTTTCATATTATTTTCTTTAACAGCAAGCAGTCTATTCCCCTTGTAGCAAGACACTAACTTGTGCAGAATTGAAAGAATGGAAAACTCATCAGATACAGTGGGAAAGTGAAGGACAAGTTACTGTAAAATCTATTGATCGACAGGAGAATCCAAGTGAACATACGATATATCTGGTAATCAATATTCTTGTTGTTTGTGATACTGTTTAGTTAACGTGTGATAATAATGATATCCTTCTTAACCCTTTCCAGATAGGTCACGGGTGAAAGGCCATGACATTGTGTTTGCTGACTTGCATTCAAAATTTTATTCAACTACTATTTCATGAATTTATGTCAATAAGTTTGGTTTCAAACTGTAGATTATAATTCAAATTTTGATATTATACATTACTCAATTTCTTAATTTAAAAGTAAATATTAAAAAAACACAGTTAAACATCGATTTTTGTGTGTCGTGGTATGTTGAATGCAGCACTGGTTCAGATTAGATGTTTGTGATGTCAAAATACTAAGTCTATAGTTTTGAATGAATTAGGAACTCAAATTACCGATATTGAAAAAGTTGGAATATAAAATAAGAGCCTCATATCTTTTCAATTTTCTAAGATATTGCTCATGCAATAAATCAAACACAGTGGTACCCCTACTCATCTCTGTCCATTTTTGGAAACGGTCACTTATACACACTAGTGGCTTTCTCAGCCATTTTAAATTCTTAGGACACCATCTTTTTCTTTCAAACCAAGATTTCAAAGTAGTAGGTTTAGTGTTTAGTATGCTCGAAATTTCATATTTTTATAGACTGAAATACAGCTTAGTTACTAAGTTTGATAAATTATAGTGGAACTTTATGGTATTGATATAGTAATTCATGATTTTTTGGTTATTCAACTATATATATATAAAACATAAAAAATTATTTCGTTTCATATCCTCCATTTGTGAAATTTTAAAAGGCTTAGCAACCTACTTCAAGCATCAACCGAGTACAAAGGTCATAACTGGATAAGATAATTGTTTGCTTTACTTCTTTAGTTACTGTTTTTTGTTTTAGGAAAAATAAGTTTAAGAACTTATTTC